GTGAGCTCGGGATAAAGGTCGAGTGTCCTCTCAGGCTGTACTGTGACAACAAGGCTGCCATCAACATTGCAAATAACCCAGTGCAACATGATAGGACGAAGCACATTGAGATTGACCGGCACTTCGTTAGAGAAAGAATCGTTTCAGGAGAACTCTGCATTCCTTATACTCCTTCCGAGATGCAGATTGCATATGTGTTAACTAAAGGACTAGCTTCAACGAAGTTCTCAGACTTACTTGGCAAGCTAAACATGACTGACATCCATGCTTAGCTTGAGGGGGAGTGTTGGTTTGACTGTTTTAGTGTTTATGTTAGTCATATTTGTGTCTTAAGTTCTTAGTTATTGGGCATAAACTTGTTTAATGTTTTATTTGTTTTATTTGTCTAGGTGTCCCATCACTAATCAGGGGCATTCTAGTCCATTCATGTAACATTATTTTATAATCATCTATATAAGATTGTAGGGCTGGCTGAAGTAGGTATGCCGCATTTCTCAAATCTTCTCTTCTTCTTCTTCTTCTTCTTCGGCTGCTGTGTTCCAGCAAACAGCAGTCATTGATAAGTTAGAATCTATACATATAGACATATGCATGTCAAGTGTATGATGCGCAATTAAACTGAAGTAAATATATGTTTACTCTTTTTTTTTTTGTTGTTGATTCTAGACACCATGAATGTGCTGATACCTTCAAAATTCTGCTATGCGTTGGTTCCTATTAGATCCTCTATCTGCTGATGCCTATATTATTTTAACCTATTTTCTCTTCATTCCGCAGATCTCATTCTGGTTTTATCTGGTATCAGTTAGTTTGTTCCAAAACTTTCTACTGCATTGGTGTCCATGTATCACACATGCTAAAAACACCTTATAGCTTTACATCAAAGGGTGGATGGATCTAGGAAATTCTTAAGGAAGATGAACTTATGGAGAGACATGTGAATTGCATGGTGATAATCATGCTATAGGGAAGGATTAAGGAGGAATTCATTCAAAAGGTTTCATCTATCCTGAGCATTGCACAATTTGGTAGTTTAGGGAGGAGGAAATTTGCAGAGCCGCCCTCCCCCAAAAGAACCCAAATTTATTGCTCTTCCACTATGGTTCATTATTCAATATTTTAAAACAGAAGTTTAACTTTCAATGAGGAAAATCATGAGTTTGACTGACTAGTCATGTGCCCAGATTAAGTTTAGTTTCACTCGTCTTGAGGCTTGAATTTATAATCCAAGTTTAACTTTCATTGAGTAAATTTACAGGTTTGTTTATGCAGTTTCAATGGCCCCTTTTCCCCTTAGATTTCATGCTTAATGGTCATGTTTAGCATTATAGGGACAGATGGCCTAAATCAGCAAGGCAGTTCACATAATCTGATTCATTACTTCTGTTGGGAGGTTGCACAGATATCATTAATATTGTTTGCAATCACAACCCCTACTTTGTTGCTTGAATCTTCTTGTTTTTGCTCATTGGCATCCATAGGATCTTACATAGAAAAGGCATGTTGATGTAGGTTATCTTGTTGAAATGACTTTGGTGCAGATCTGCAATTCAAACATAAGAAAGTAAACAGTTCCCACAAAACTTGGATTATGACAGAAGATAGTCAAGCCATGGGGAAGTAGCTTATGTTTAAAAGTTTTTCATATGTTAAGACTCAATACACTCATCCCATGTTTTGAAATCCAGACTGAAAGTTGAACCGGAAGGGTGGCTGGTTCCCAATTTCCTCGTTTAATTGGTTTATCTGGTCTGAACTGCTAAAATCCCCGCACTGGAAATTGCAACCATGCCTAGTTTACTTTTCTGATGCTTATGTTTAGTCCGATTCAGTTTTCAAAACATTGGACTGAACTCTAAAACACGATCATTAGCTGTCCAATAGGGTACCGTCTTCTGTTGACAGCACACCCTGGATATTCAGAAATGACATCAAGAAGATTAAAAGTCTATCCAAGGACATGCAGCTTTCAATTCAGTGGACCCATATAGCAGCAAATGGATTTGCAGACCAGCTAGCCAAAGAAGGGGTGAACAGGGATCGCTGTTTCTGGACTCAACTGTAAGAGTGAAAAATCAATTTAATAGTGGATACATCACATTGTAGTGGGGTAGCCGAGGCTACTCATAAACTGTAACCCCTGTAATTTCTTTTCATTAATGAAAGTTCTTTTTACTGATAAAAAAAAAAAAAAAACAAGGGTCGTCTTCTGTTATCATGTGAATGCCTACCTTTGGCCATCACAACCTTTTCTATAATATTCATCACCCCCTGGAAAGACATACCAAAGTTGAGGAAACTTTATTACAATAAACTTTTCTGTAATCCATTTATTGTATTTATATATTTATATAGATTTATCTCATAAGTCATAACTAATTTATGAAAAAGGAAAAAGACATGGGAGAAAATGAAAGGGAAAACTCAATTCCAAGCTCTGCCTTTTGTATTGTTGCTCTTATTGTCATGATTTAATAAAGAACATAGCAGTAATTAATAGATGCTGCATATTCATTACAGATTGCTGAAGCAGAAAAAACATCCTTGAGTCAACGAAAAAGGATTGAAGAGCTTGAGTTGCAGCTCCATCAAGCAGAAGATACAGTGAGGGATCTTAGAGCTGAGATGAAAAGAGTGCAAGATGAATTGCAGAAGGTGAAAAATAACCAACTGCAGCCACTAAGTGAAGAAGTCATTGAAAGGAATGCTGTTTCTCATGAAGATTTATCACAAAAGAAAAAATTAAGTACTTCAGATTCCATTTTATGCTCTCCTTTTGAACCAGGACTCCAATCTGCATCTACTAATGACACGAGGAGTACAACTCTGGGTCAGAGGAGCACAGATGAAAGGTGCTGTCTTGCATTAGAAAATGCAACAGCACAGGCTGAACCATCTATTGATTCTCGTGTGGAGAAATATTATGCTGGTAACCCTGATTTAGCTTCCATAATAATGAGAAGCAAAGAGCCTGAACTTTACAGAAATGGATGTACTCAGAGAATTCGCGCATTTGAAAGGAATCTACTTGATGGCAAATTGCCTCTTCCCAGGCAAAGAGATAATCAGTTCTCAGATATGAAGAATGAATTAATTGTCAGAGAAGATGGAAAGGTTGAAGAAACCTGTGTTGTAGCTTCACCCAAGGCTGAAAATATCATGGATAAGAACCCAACTGAGTCAGAACTTATACAGCATGATAGTAGCTTTGTTAAAGATGACATAAAGTTCTTTCATAGATTTAAGAGAAGAAGAAGAAAAGCTAGATACAGGAAGGGTACCTCATGCAAGTTTCTTTCTGATAAGGCCACAGAAGCTAGTGAAGCATCATTGCTTTCTTGTCCTGAAACTCACCCCTGTCCTGCCAATGCTAATGTTGAATCTGTTGAAGATCCATCAAAGGTGATTGAATGTGAGGACCAGAAGGATTTGGGCTCCCATATGGCTCATACTTCACCACCAAATACAACTGACATGGATCCTCAATCAGGATGTGTTGATGGAACTGAAAGCCAACATGAGAATATTCAGAATGCTACAAACAAGGATACGGAAATGGGTGAGACAGCATCAACAAGCCAGGGTAGCAAAGCTGCAGGTGTTTCAGGAGATCCAGCATGCAATTTAAACCTTGAGACCGCTGATATTCAGTTAACGAATTCTGATAGCAAAGATGGTAAAACCTTTGAAACCACTGGTGGAGCTCCTACTCAAGTGAAAGATGGGCTTCTGAAGTATACATTCCGGAGAAAGCGTAAAAAGGAATCCTTGATGAGCCATGATGAGAATGCCTCCCTTGAAAAGAAAAACACTTCAAAGAGGAGGGCAAGAGACAATCCAAGCAGTGCTCAAGAGCCGCAGAAGTCAAGCTTGATTATTGAGTCATCCAGAGACAGTAGGCGACTGGTGCAAGTTGCTCGTCAGGTTGGTGGATGGTCACATTCTCACGTCTGGCACATATTTCTTGATATGTGTTTGCAACTGAGTTTACTTAGTTGTTTCTTTTTTTTTTCAATTTTTAAATCAGTGCAGGAATTTAAAATTCCTAGTAAGCACAACCCACTACTGATGGGGCTCCACTTATGAAGTCATCGTCATCCAAGCCTTATCCCAACTATATGGGGTTGGCTACATGAATCCTGTTTCACCATTCTTTTCTGTTTAATGCTATATACCCATTGTTAAAGTATGAGAGCTTAAATCATTTCTTACTTGGACCCATGTCCTATTTAGTCTATATTCCTATTCCCTTCTGGGCCCTTACAGGTGCTGTCAGATGGTCTTTTATGCTGTGACCAAACCATCTTAGTTTATTTTCTCTTATTTTATTACCTGTTGGAGCTAATCTTAGGTTCCTTTAAATGACTTAATTTTTGACCCAATCCTTTCTAGTTTTTCCACTCATCCATCTTAGTGTACATATTTCTGCCACAGTCATTATTTGGAAGGCTCCAGCTTATGAAGTCGATGCTAAAAAATTGATTCAATTTGATGATCATGATTATTTGTTCTGTCAAATTTACTTCTTTTGAGCCATCACGAGAACATTATGTTGACAAGTCCAAACAAGTTGTAGTCTATATATAGCAGTGTGGTCCATAAGGATACAATAGAATTTTGTCTTAAAAAAGGCTAATTTCCTGGCATTTGGTTTAGCTCATTTCCTTATCCACATCTGTGGAAATGAGCTATTTTGTCAGTTAAGTTGAAAGCTACATCAGGCAGCTTACAACTAAAGGCTAAAATCTCCTTTTGTAGAATGTAGGTTTAATGTTTTTTATTTGAAACCGATGATCCCACTCTACCACAGAAATCACATTGGAAATATTAGACTGACATTTCTCTCCTTATTAAATGTTAAAATCCCTATACTAACCATATTGAAATGTTGAAGTCATCCCACCTTCCATTATTGAAAACTTGTTCCTAATCTTTAAATAAAAAAATGTTCACAAGGCTTGAGCTTGTTAACCAAAGGTAAGATATTTGTTAGCAATCCCATATGGAGTCTTAGTATTCCTAGTTGAGAGATGAGAACTCTTGAATAGTGGGGCAAATTGGACAGTAGAAATAATCCAACATATTTATATTTTTTAAACAGAAAAAGGGCTATTACTCAATGGGCCGAAAAATATGGTGGGCATTCCAAAATTATAAAAGGAAAAGTTCCTTGCACTGAATGGTTAGTCTTTTTTTTTCCATACTAGACTGTTACAGTCATCTGATTTGGTCAATTTATGTATGACATACTCATATTTGTTTTCAATAGACTGAATGTTTATGTGATTTTATGTTGGTTCATTTGGTTAATTTTCATGTTCTGTGCTGTGATGTGGTGCTTAATGAATAATCCTATGCTTGATATTGATAAATAGACTGGTTCCACTGCAGCTCATTTCTTTGTCTGAGAAAAGGTGGTGGTAGTTGGAGTTGGCTGTTCCTTGCATCCATTGATAAGGAGGTTGAGCCTTTGAGGAAACTGAATCCCATTGTGTTGAAGTTCTAAGTTAACTGCTTCAGAGAACACAATGACTATCATTTATCAAAAGAGAGCTTGGATTCCGAGCAACAATGTATGTGCGTTACTTCCAATAAGTTATGATAATTCTAGCATTCTTTTTCTTTTTTCTTTTCTTTTTTTCTTTTTTTATGTTTCTAATTTCGTTTCTCTTCAATCATAGCGTGTCATTGTACAACTAAACTGTTTCTGATATCCTGATGCCATCTTTTATTAGCTACAAGTTTACTTTTAACTGTAATGTTTTATTTGGAGGCCATCTGTCCATTTGTGTTTGAGTATGGTGAATAATTTGAACTGATCAAAGCATTTAATATTGGTCGAAATAAGGGCTAGATCGTTATTTCCATAGTGTAGGTGAGTAGGTTTGCTGCTCAGAGGAACAAGTTTCATGGTTCAAGTTTGTTATTCTTATTCATGGGCATCGTGGGACAAGTGGAGCTTTTAAGTTAAAAGGTGATGAAGCATCAAGGAATTAAGAAACAAACTAGGAACTCCTTTTGGTCCAGCTTTTCACAAATTCTCATGTCTTCATTTAGAAATCAATTCTTTTTGTTCCTCATCTTAGACTTAGACACTCGGTTGTTTACTGCCTTGGATCTCGCAGTTCTGTCCCCTTTCCAGCTGATTTTGTCTGTGGGGGAATTCTTGATCTACTGCAAACACAAACCTGTAGAACGGTCTACTAACCAATTAGGAGTGAATACACTAGTTGTTATGGTCCTGCACGTAGGATCCCGTCACGGGTCGGTCCACGGTGCGAAAACCCTACTTCCCCTTGCGCCTTTCCTTGCTTGCAGACCCGATTACGGAAACTGAATGGGTGATTTGTCCAAGAGACCACCCGAACTCTCCTAAGAGGGTGTTTGTCCAAGAGACCACCCAAACTCTCCTCACTCTTTTCTTGACTGAAAAACTGAATGCTTTATTTCAATTCGTGGCTCCTTAAATAGGAGCTTACAG